TATTATTCGGCCATAAAAAGAATTAAAAAAATTAATGCTACAAAAAGAACGCTACATGGACCTTGAAAGCATACTAAGTGAAAGAAGCCAAACACAGAAGGCCACATACGATTCCACTTACATGCAATGTGTAGAACAGGCAAATCTACAGAGACAGGAAGTAGATGCGTGGTTGCTAGAATGACCGATGAAGGCTTTTTCTGAGGTGATGAAAACATCCTGAAATTTGTAGCGTTGGTTGCAAAACTTTGTAGATATACTATAAAAAACATTGAATTGTACGCTATAAATGGGTGAATTATTTGACACATGAACTCTATCTAAAAAAAAAAAATTTTTTTTAAGCCAGGGCTTTGGAGCCAGATTCTGAGTTCAAATATCAGCTCCACCACTCAGCAGGTGAATGTCCTTGGTGATTTATTCGACTCTCAGATTTTTCACCTTCACAACGAGGGGCAGGTCTGCTGAGAAGATGTAAAGTGCACGACACATAAAGTGCCTGATAAACATGGCTGTTTTATTAGCATTCCTGATGCAAAGCCACGGCCTCCATGGACCAACAATGTTTTCTCGGCTACTCCCATGCAAGCCTCTGGGTTACCGACACCAGTAAATGCTTCCAGGGCAGCTCAAGGATTAGCATCTGGATTAATAAAATGCGGTATATCTATATAGTCGTATATTATTGTCTTCAAAAGAAATGAAGTACCGATACATGCTTCAACCTGGATAAAGCTTGAAAACATGTTAAATACAAGAAGCCAAACACAAAAGACCACAATCTTCATGATTCCATCCATATGAAATGCCCAAAATACAGACCGAAAGCGGACTGGTGGCCGCCTAGGGATGGGCGGGATGGGGGAACAGGGAGATGACGGCTGAAGGGTCTCTGCTCAATTTGCTCCTCGTTTTTAACCTGGAAACTTCCTTTCCTTTCCTGGGGGTGCTCAGTACGGTTCTAAAGAACCTCTGCCACATCCGTGGGGCATTTCCAGACTGCGGCGGAAGGTTTCCCGGTTCTCTCCCCGCAGCACTGGGAGGGGTACTAGTCGGCCGCTCGTGGGCTGTAGTGCGCGGGAGAGCAGCCTCCGAGTCCGCCACACTTCGCCCGCCGGTCCCGCAGAAACGCCGGCAGAGCCCGGGGGCGGGCCGGGGTCGCGGATCCCCAGGAGGCGGCGCCAGCAGCTCGCGCGGCCC